ACTTTGGCTTGACTCCCTGACAGCCTTGCCAGACTCCCTTAGCATTACAATAAAGTTTAAGTTGCTTTCACCCAGGCTTCCTTGCCTCCTTTCATTCACCTGGGGTCAGGCCTGCCTGAGATCTGGTTGCCTCCCAGCCTCCGACCAACCCCAGCTCCCTCCTGACTTTTCCTCACCCGCATTGCCCCTATTTAATCCTTGACATGGCTGAGCCCTTCTTGGTCTTGGTGTCTGCTTTTTGAAGGACCCAGACTAACAGTGGACCAGGGTGAGAGCTGAGGAAACAGTTTAATAGGAGATTAGGTAGCTGCCTCAAACAGATTGTCAAACTGCAGCGGGAAGGCCGGGGAAAGTTGGGGGGCAGGAGGGAGGGGTATAAGAGATCAACCGAAGGACTTGTATGCATGCATATATGCATAACCAATGGACATGGGACGCTGGGGGGTGGGGAGGCCAGGGGATAGTCAAGGGCGGGGGAAAAAAAAAAGACACATATGTAATACCCTTTGTAATACTTTAAGCAATTAAAAAAATAAAAAAAATAAAAGCATTTTAAAAATAAATAAATAAAAGTATTTTCTAGTCTCAAAAAAAAAAAAAAAATAGGAGATTAGGAAGTGGCTCATCTCCCACCTGGAGGGGAAAGAGGATGACTTCCTGGTCTGTATCTAGGATACATGCATTGCTTGGGACAGGCCATGGCCCAGTTACCGAATATTTCACAGAGGGTGTGCAGAGAAGAGTTAACATAACAGGCCTGAACCTGTTATCCTTACAAAGACCTGTTTGCAAGGTCGCCTTCGGCTAATGTCCAGCAATGAGGATTTTAGGAGTGTTTCCCCCATTTCTTAGCTGATGAGTTATTTACTGTGTCTGAGATGTTTGTACAAACAATAGGGTTTATGTTGAACACTTGTTTTCCTTCTGGGAATCTGAGATTTTGGTGATGTGCCCACAGAGTGCACCTATGTGATTGAGCCCCTTAAGAACCCTGCCTCCCACGCCCAGGCTCAGGCCAGCTTCCCTGACGGCCGTCCTTTGTACATGTCACAGGTCAATGTGGGAGGAGTTAAGCTCATCCTGGGCGACTACAGGGACAAGACTCGGTGCTTGGGCCTGGCTTCCTCTGGTTTGTTCATGTACCTTTTCCCTGAGCTGATTCTGTTTGATGTTCTCTAATAAGTCATACTTGTGAGGACACTTCTATGCTTAGTCCTATGGTTTTTTTCTAGCAAATAACTCAATCTGAGGATGGTCTTGGACACTCCAGACACAAGTGGTAACTTGGGCAAATGTCCTCATGGAGAGGAATTCTCTAGAAGTTCAGTGACACATGCATTTGCTAACATGGGGAGAACAATGCCTACAAGAATAGCAACGTTGGTTGGTTACTGCTGGGTTGTGTTGATGACCTGAAGAAGGATAATGAGACTAAGGGTTGTTAACAAGCTGTTAGTGCTGAAATAGGGAGCCAGCGGACCTCTGGGAAGCTTACAAGGGGGCCCGGGTTGAAACAGCTGAGCTTCAGGCTGGCCATCTCATCGTTATGGCCCTGGTAGAGAAAACCTTGGGGACGTGGTGCCATGGGGACATCTGGATGGATACCCCTGAGGACGCTGACTCTGCAGTGCCTACACCCTTGGTCTTACAGAAGTACCCCACCTCTTCCCTAATGAGTCACCTCTGTTAGCCTAGAGATGCTGCTACCCAACCCCCACCACCTCGCAGACAACTGTCCCCACTACTCTTGGCTGCAAGGTTTAGAGCCAGGATTAAATTCTAGCAAAACCTGGCTGTAGTTGTGCAAGGGAGAAGACTGGACACCCAAAAAGTAAGCGTTAGTACATTCTGGCAGGGGTTGAGCAAGCATTACTGGGATTGGATTTTGAGAGAGCTTGATCAAGGACTAAATTCTCCAATTAAAAGAAAAAATTCAAGTTGATAAAAATAATCCAGCAACAAGTTGTGTATAAGGAACACACCTAAAACATAAAGACACAGTTTGAAAGTAAAGAACCAAGATGGCAGCGTAGGTAAACACCTATACTCACCGCTTCCCATAACCACATCAAAATTACAACTAAAATACAGAACAACCATCATTCAGAACCACCTGAAAGCTGGCTGAATGAAAGTCCTACAACTAGAGAAGTAAAGAAGAAAGCACACTGAGACTGGTAGGATGTGCAAAGGTGCAGAACGGGCTGGTCAGGCATCCCTGTGGGCTGTTTTTCAAATCAGGAGGGAGAGCACCTCTGTGGAGGCCGCCAGAGAGGAGCAAAGGGTCCCAGTCCCATGCCAGACCCATAGCCCAGGGTCTCAGAGCTGGGAAGAGAAGTCCCCACAACCACAGGCTGTAAAAGCCAGCGAGGATTGTGGCTGAGTGACTAGGAGGTGGCCGGAATCCCAGGTATTCCTCTTCAAGGGCCCACATACAAACTTACATGGTCTGGCTTCCTCTGAGCTCCAGGACTGGGGGACTCAGACACATACAGCATTGGGGCAGGAACTTGGGGCAGCTTTCTCCAAGACAGGGGTGCGTGTAGGGGTCATTGTTTCTGTGCTGGGACCTTCCATTTCTCGGGGCTGACTGGCAGCCATATCAGCATGGCCCACACTGTTTGCTCCGCCCTGGGGATTCCTTGAGACTCTGCCCCATCCAATTTGCAGCCCCATCCAAGCTGTTTGCAGCAGCTTTTCCATATGAATGGCCTGTTCTGGCTCAGGCTTCAAAGCTAAAATTTCTCAAACAAGCTGCAGCTGGTGACAGTGTGCCCCAAACCTATCAATAAAAGCCCTAAGACCCAGCACTAGCAGCAGCCTGCCTTGCTTCACAGCTGGGCCTCATCTGGGCACTTCCAAGCCCAATACAAATAGCAAATAGCAACCCTCTGCAGATCCCTCTGTAGCACCTGTGAGGTGGCCCCAGCCAGTGGCTAACTTTGTACCATCCTGGAGGCCCTAGAGCCAGTGTACCTGGTGAACAGCCTCAGACCATGCCAGATTACAACTCTACACATCCATAAGTGGAAAACTCAAGAGGCAGACTCAGTGAGCACCAAAGCTCCACCAAAACAAGTCCTGCTTCATAGGGGTGTCTCCTGCACAGCAGTTCTCCCACTGTAGTCACAGTTGGTCCTCACAGCCAATTGGCCTGGAGATCAACTCCTCCCAGTGATGCCAACAGCAATTAAGGTTCAACTACAAGACTGTGCAAACAGGGGTGCACCTAGAGTGCCCAGCTCTGGGTTCAATTCCCAGTCAGGGCACATACCTAGATTGAGGATTTGGTCTGGGAGCATACAGGGGGCAACAGATGAATGTTTCTTTCACATCAATGTTTCTCTCTCTCCCTTCATCTCTCTTTAAAATCAATAAAACAGGTGAGGATAAAAAAAAAGGTGAGGATAAAAAAATTCTGGCCTGTAAATAGGAAGGTAGATTAATGAACTATAAGAAGGAAAATTAGATATACAAAATGTAAAACAGACAAAAACTTGGATTCTATGGCTTTGGAAAGGTAAAATTTGCAATTTGGTAAAGTGACAGTAGGGGGCAGCAGATTCCAAATGTGATATTTCTGTCTATTAGAGCTGAAAGGCTTTATGAAGATTAAAATATACTCTGTCCTTGTATGCAATACATGTGTTCAAATGTTTACTTGTGGCCTCATGTGTAACACACGTGTTCAGTAGAAAAAAATACTCCATTATGAGGATGAATAGGCTGAGGACTAGAAAATTTATATTATTTGTGGAGGGTCACAGGTAGTGTTGAAGCCGGGACTCAAATCCCACTCTTGATTCTACTTTTTAAAAAAATATATTTTTATTGATTTCAGAGAGGAAGGGAGAGGGAGCGAGAAAGAGAAACACCAATGATGAAAGAGAATCATTGATCGGCTGCCTCCTGCACATACCACACTGGGGATCAAGCCCACAACCCGGGCATGTGCCCTGACCAGGAATCAAACCATGACCTACTGGTTCATAGGTAGACACTCAACCACTGAGCCATGCCAGCTGGGCTTGATTCTACTTTAATTGGCCACTTTCAAAGAGAAAAAGAGGAAATATAGATGAAATTGTCAGCTTTTCAATCTTTTTCCTCAATAATTATATTTCTTTTTTCTTAAATGACACAAGATTTGATGAAACCTAGGATTGATTCAGTTTTGATTTTCAGAAATGAAGGTTATGGTTGAGCTGGGTTTAAACTGCACTAGAAATAGTTTTTCTGTAGTTGAGTGTTAGAATGCCAGAACTGAAGTTACAGTGTAGGTTCTTAGGTCCTGGAGACTATAGCATTCCAATCCTTCCAACCCTACACACACACACACACACACACACACACACACACACACACGACCTCTTCCTGTGTACACACAGCCCCCATATTCTTTAGGAAGCAAAGCTGCAACAAGGATATTGGTGACGTCAGAGGAAGGTGTAAATCTCACTAGGGGCCTCCCTAGGGTTATCCTTGCCATTGTTTAAGGCGGTTTTACTTCCACCTGGGGCTGTAACAAATGGGTTTCGAGCTTCTGAGGCAGAAAAATAGGAGAACTAAAGAAAAATTAAAAATGGATTTTTTTTCAGGGGGAAAGGACAAAATAAACTGCCAGCTACTGGTAAACTAATCATGAACCAGTAGAGTAAAAGCATGTTCAAAATAAGAAATAAGGGAGAAAAGCCTCCCTCTTTTCCCACTCCTTGTAAACCTTTCCCACTCCTTGCTGCCTTGGAGCCTCTCTCTGCCAAAATGCAAGTGAAGTGGCTGAGTCCACTGCGGTAGCAGGCAAGCTCTTGACTGGCTTCTGCTTGTGCTAATCTGGTCATCTTCATTGATTCCCACAACTTGCCCCGCCTTCAGCTATTGTGTGGCTGATCAGAGTTTGGAACCAAGACTCATCTGACCCCAAGCCCATGCTTCTTGCACTGTCCCACTTGTCTGTTTTGGGAGCCTGAGCCACAAGGAGACACCAATGAGAGGCATAGGCCTTTGATTTGGCATAGTTTATTATATTAGTATGCATATAAAACCATGTAAATGCCACAAAGTATCCCATTTATGCTCCAAAATAACCAACAGATAGTCTGTGACATTCCAGCACCCTCGCTATTATAATATTTGTATTTTTCACAGAAAGTTATAATCATACAAGTAAGATTATAATACATTATTTAGAGAAAGGATTTTTTGGGGTCCATATGTTCTATAAAAACAAACAAACATATTTTCCTCTTTGGCAAAAGAGGTGAAATCCCCCACAGTGATCTCACGAAGCAAACTCAAATAAAAGCCACTGGAGATGAGGTACAGCCGAGGTCTGGGCTCATGGGGAATTCTCCGGAAAAGTGTTTCTTACAAAATCAGTTCGGTTCCCAACCACCTCAGCATAAAGAGGTCTACTTAGATTCGGCCTCGGCCGCTTCTGTGAGAACACACAGAGTACAATGTGCTCTTTCTGGAAAAGAGAAAAAAGGCACGAAGAGTGTGGGCGTCTGGCCTCAGCAATACTTTTACTCTGAGGTACAACAGCACCCGACACAGTGATTCAGACTGGAATTGCTGTGCCACCTTCATTTCGTTGGGAGAGCCTGCCCTCTGGGTTGCTGCCAGTCTCAGCATTTGGCTTTGCAGGTAGTTTGTAAAGGCGGATGTGCATGTGAAAGCCAGCCTCTGCCAGGTCTGACCTGAGTAAGAAGCAAAGTGTGATGAAGGCCAGTTCCTCTGGGATGCAGGTCTCTGGGGCAGGGCAGGGAGGTCCCCTGCAGGCAGAGGCCTGCCCAGTGCAGGCCCAGACCCGCCACTGCACATCCCCACCTGCACCGGAATCTAAAGGACCAGCAGTTGCTGAGGTGGTTGTGTGTGTGTGTGTGTGTGTGTGTGTGTGTGTGTGTGTGTGTGTGTGTTTAATCTACAATCATAATTGTTAACAACCACCCTGGTGTGCTTTTCATGCTTCAAGTAATTTAATTCCTTCCAGGAGAAGAATGCTAACAATGCTTTTAGTTCTAGTTATCAAAGGAAAGGAAATGAGACACAATAACAAGAATTAGTTTAAACAGACCCGCTGCTAACACAGTATCAGAGGAAATATCTTTGAAAAGTGAACACAGTATTATATACGTTTTTGCAACAGCTGCACTCTCCCGCTTAACCTCCGTGCAGAACTCAAATCCGATAAAGCGGACTTAAGTTACTTTCACTCTTGTTAAATACAACTCTGTACAGACTGCACATTGCACACCAGAGCAGCTCAATATCACAGTTAGAGACATGAAAATGCCCTCTAAACATTTTCATGTCTAACAAAAATGTTTCTAGCCTAACAAAACCCAACAGACTCCCGCCCAAAGGGTCAGAACAAAACCAACTGCACAACTTTGTAAACAGTATGAGAGGTGGTCGCTGGGACTCCACCGCAGGATCCTATTAAATCACACACACACAATCACACCTACACTCACACTCACACCTACCCTCACACACACACTCACACATACACTCACAATCACACACACTCACAATCACATACACTCACACACACAGCTCCCTTCCGCCAGCGCCGCGCACAGCCCGGTGCTCAGTACCACAGCAGGCTTTTCACATTGTGTTCACTTGTGTTCACAGCAGAGCGGTCACGGCCGTCTGGTTGAGGGGTTTGAGGCAGTCTCGGGGGGCTGAGTAAGCATCATGCGTGGGAGGCTGGCAGTCGGGCTGTGCACACTCCGCGGATAAGCAGCCCCCGGCTTTGGGCTGATCGTAGCCGGGGTCGGGGCCGGTGAGCACCGGGCTCTGTGGACTTTGATAGCCCGGGTTCGCGGCGCCCTCTCCGGCGGCGGGGGCTGCAGAGAAGTTGCCAGAAGACAGGGAGTGCTTGTGCGTGGGCACGCGGTAGCCGCCCTGCGCCGAGAAGGTGTGCGCCCGGGCCAGGTGCCGCTCCACGATGGGCGTGGCGTACTCGGGCTCGGGGTTGGTCAAGGGCAGCGCGTACTCGTGGCTGCCGGGGAGAGGGCAGCGGTAGTGGCTGCCGGCCTCGGCGCTGGCCCCGGCCTCCCGGGCCTCGGTGTCCATGGGCCGGAAGGTGGAGCCCTGCCTCGTGACCGTCCCAGTGCCGATCATGACAGGCAGCTGGTAATCTGAAAGCAGAAGAGAAGACACGTCACGGGTGCGCCGCGCGGGCACACGCACGGGCAAGGCAGCTGTTCGCAGGGGAGGATGCTCTGCTCAACCTACCCTCTACTGAGAGCCTGTGGGCCAGGCAGGATGAGGGAGGCCAAGAGGTACAAGGCACAGGTGGAGTTTGGTTGGGGAGATGCTCATCTTTGCCCCTGAGGCATCTCAGACAACCTTTCCACTGGCACCTCGCAGACTTTGATATACACTGAGTGGCCAGATTATTATGACCACCCCATCAGTAGAATGGAGTTAGTTATGCAAATAATAATAATAAAACCTTGAGAGTATTTGCTTAGGAAGTTTTCAATATTCAGTATTTTTGGAAGTGTCAATGAAGTACTGATGGGGTGGTCATAATAATCTGGCCACTCAGTGTATACATGCACCACCTGGGAACTTCCGGTTTAGTAGGCCTGGGGGCGGCCTGAAAAGCTGCATTTCTAGGGAGCGCCTGGTGCTGCTGATCCTCAGCACACACCCTGAGAAGTCAGAAGCTAGAGCAGCGCTGCTACTCAGGGTGTGGTCTGGAGACGCCTGCATTATCTGAGCGCTGCCTGTGACAAATCTGCAGAGAGAGGGTCGCACAAGTTGAGAGCAAGTGTTGAGAACCCTACAGCAACTGGAGAGAGTAATTTTATGTCCCTTGAGTCTTATAAAAAATGAGAGCTTTGTAAACTGTATGTCTTTTTGAAAACTTCATTACAACTAACTCATACTGTATTTTACAAAAGTGTTAGTCTTGGTGGATTAGAAATTTAAAAAACCAAAAAACAAAAGCAAAAATTGGATCTTTCCCCACAGACAGTTTGAAAAGCTTAACTCCCAATGCTGGTTGATCAGGGACGCCCAGGCCATTCTAACACCGGACGGGTTTTCATCTCTTCCCCCTCTCCTCAAGGGCAGGAGCCGTACTTAACTCATCGTTAGTCCCTCTTTCCTAGTGCCTTACTCAAAACCTATAACAACACAGTTCAATTAAGCTTCCAGATTTCAGTGGTACTTCAGGGCCATTGCTTTGGGTGTCATTACAGCTCCTGCAGGTGTAAGAGCCTCCTCGGCTGAATGGGGCTCTTGAGAAATACCTCGGTGTCAGTTTGCAACTCTGTACAGAAAACTTCACACATTACTAATTTAAATATGTGTGTGTATTTTTTATTGATTTCAGAAAGAGGAAGGGAGAAGGGGAGAGAGATAGAAACATCAATGAGGAGAGAGAATCATCCATTGGCTGCCTCCTGCTCGCCCTCTACTGGGGATTGGGCACACAACTTGGGCATGTGTGCTGACCAGGATAGAAGCATGACCTCCTGGTTCACCGGCCAACACTCAACCACTAGGCAATACCAGCTGGGCCACACATTACTGATTTAGAGGACCCCATCTAAACAGCAGGATTTTAGTCTTATTTTTCTCCTGGTCTCCCCTCTCCCACAGCAGAGGCCTGACACTTACCTGCCATATCCCTTGTGATGAGATCTAACTTTTGTGTCACCTCCTTCTCATTATTATAGCTGATGGTAAACTCAGCCGACTGATGTCTGGCAAAGGGATGTTTAATCTGCTTCCAACAGTCTGGAACAAAGACGACAGGAAATAAGGTGATAGCTTAGAAGTACAGCACACATTCTCCACTGCTCTATGACGTGTTTCTCCATGAGCCACAGGTCAGGCTGCCTTCTGCCAGCTGACCTTGTGATAAGTTCACAGGCACATGCTTCAGGTATGTGTGTTAGAAACAGCACACTGAGGCTGTTATGTCCACAGCAAACACTGTTCCAGCCATGCTTTCCACTGTGCCTTTAAAATGTATCTGTGTGCCCATCAGGTCCCATATCCTCCCAACGTTAGACCACCTGGTTTTCCATGGGGCCCTGCCCATGGCCTTCTCTCTGGACTGCTGCCGACACATTGCTTGGGCATTTTGTGTCCTAAGGATTCTCTGAAACCCAAACACAAGACCTGTCTAGTCCTTCCCCCACTTCCCCAGAGAGCAAAATACAAGGGAAGCCTGCAGATGCTGAGTGCTGGACAGTGTTAAGGTCACAGTTCACAGATGGGGCTTTTATAACTTCTCCTTGATTCCAAGCAATGTGTTGGCCTAAACTCCAGTGCCAAAAAGAAGGAAAAAGAATGTTGATAAATGATGGGATGAAGTTGAACAAAAGTAAAAGTAAACTGCTTTCTGAATTAAAAAGATAAGACACAATATATTCTTTCCTTATAAATTTGTTAACTTAAAGGCTATAGATTTTATTTTATTTTAAAAGACCGAATGGTGCTTTTAATCAGCAGATCCTATCCCTTCCTCAAAGAATAAAATTGAAGATAGAAATTTCAACCCACCTGTTTTTTGGGCTTTAGTGGATGCATAAGGAGTTCCTTTCTTCTTCCTCCTAGCAAGACAAAAAAATCCTACTGAAAAGGTTTCTAAATGATAAGCACTGTTTATAAAATAATACTTGAAACTTTCAACCTCTAACCAACATGTTTGTAAAATACAAGTTAATATTTTATCTTGGAAGGAGTAATGTCTTTCTCCACATGAGCATCTGCAGGATAAACTTTTTGTTTTTGTGATTGTTTACATAAGTAGAGAAGAAATGTGAAGTCACATACTTTCTAAGGACCGCAAGGATTCCAACAATCAGCAGGGCAAGGAGCAGCAGCAGAGCAGCCACCACTGCGACCTTCGTTCCTAAGAGTGGAAGCAGCACATTACAACAGAAACGACCTGCAACCCCATTTCATGATCTAAAATGCAACCTTGATTTGAAAATTCTTCAAAGGGTTAATGCACGAGGAAAGAAATACATTTATGGACATTGGAAAGCAAGAAAAAAGAATTCAAAATTCTGGTTAAGGTTTAGGGAAATAAAATTCATTCCCTCCCCCCTACTGCCAAAGCAGTTTTCTTCTTTTTAAATAATTTAATTTTTTTTTCAGCTACAGTTGACATGCAATATTATATTAGTTTCAGGTGTAAAACATAGTGATTAGACATTTATATAACTTATTAGGTGATCACCCCAACAAGTGTAGTACCCATCTGACACCAACCATGTAGTTATTATAGCTATTTACATCCTAATGACTTTTTATGACTGACAATTTGGAACTTTAATCCTTTCCCCTTTTACACCCATTCCCCAATCCCCCTCCCAGGAGTCGGTTTCTTTGCTTATTTTGTTGTTGTTTTTTTAGATTCCACATATAAATGAAAAAACATGGTACTTGTCTTTCAATGTCTGACTTATTTCCCGTAGCATATTACCCTCTGATCCATCCATGTTGTCACAAATGGCAAGATTTCATTCTGAAAGGCAGTTTTCAGTGTTCTTTGGGGATTAACATTTACTCTGAGCTTGTTGCTTGGTCCACATTAGACTCCCCAAGTCAGAACTGAGGGGAAGGTTTAAAGCTGTCCCACCCAGCCAGGCAGGTAAAGAATGCAGCCACGTGGAGCTGCTCCCTCGGCTCAAGCAGCCAGTTCCCCCTGGTCGTGGGAAGTTGGGACCTGGACCCTCACAGAGGCCTGGGGACCTGGGCTTCTCATTCCCAGAGCTTTGCACCGAAAGGAAATTCTAGTATAGCCTGCTGGCCTCAAACAGCAGTTCGCCCTGCTGCACGAAACAACAGACCATGTCTTCCTACAACTCTTTCTGCTTTAAAAAAGGAGGCCACTTTAGCAGGCACTGTGGCAGGCCCCAAGCTTGTAGGAAGGATACTAACTACACATAAGGAGAAGTATTTGTTCTTCACCCTGCTCTACCTGTGACCCCTGGGAAGAAAACATAGAGACCACCAGCAGTGGAAAAGTGTTGTTCATGCAAGAAAGAATAAGGAACTAAGAAAATTACAGAAACATCTGTGGTATTATTTATAAAAGTAAAAATTTGGGAAAAATTTAACAACTTAAACATCTAACAATAAGGGAATGGTTAACTACATAATGGGATTTCCATATGAAAAGATACTATTAAAGATACTAACAACTGTGCTTTTCAACTACTTAATAACATTGAAAATGCTCATAATACCATGTTGAGTGAAAAATATATGCTACAAAACAATATATGTTGTGCTGTCATTTTGTCTCAAAGTTATAAATATAAGTATAATTGATTTGATATAGTGGAATTTGGTGATTATGGAAGCTGATTCATAGCATTTATATTTATATTATTTTTTTCTCTAATCTCTCCAAATTTTATAAAATTAATATACAAATTTATAAAAAGAAATGTTCTTTTAATGTTCATTACTTGAATAAATTATATACACTTATATGTTTAGAATTCAAAAAGTATATAAAGGTATAAAATGAATGTCTATCTCCTACCTCTATTTCTCCTTCACAAAAAGCCAAATTATGTTTCCTGACACTGTTCCAGAAATACTAGAATAAGTATATTCATCTTTATTTTTCCTTTTTTACACACATATTAGAGTGCTAGATAGACTGTTCTATACCTTGCTTATTTATTTTAGTTGTAAATTTATCTCAGAGAACTTTCTAGATTACTAACACATTTTTTTCATGGCTAAAGAGTATACTGTTGCATGGATGTATTATTATTATTTTTCCATAAAATATTTACCTAGCATTTGAAGGGCAAACACTAACTTTTCTACTTACAGTACCACAATGAGTAGTTGTAGACATACATCATTTACACATGTGCAGATATCTCTGAAACATCTGCTTCCAGTCATTTATATGACAAAGAAAAGAAATTCGGTTGAAGCTACTGTAACATTGGATGGAGTACCAGCTATACTCCTGAGGAAATCACAAAACAGTAAGTGCTCTACCTGTGGACATTTCTCCAGAGGGGATGAGTTTTGTGATTGTCTCGTCTTCTCTTTCTGTTGAATCGGAACTGGTTTTGCGCCACACCAATGAATCATTGTTACCTGAGAGAGAAGAGATATTGGAAAAACCACATTAGTAACAACAATTTGGGAAAGGAGATGGCCAGAATCAAACGACTTACTAACCCACCGAGACTCCTACCTTGTGTAATTGGGCAACCAATGAGCTCCACCTTCAAGGCGATCCTCTGGTGCCGTGTCTGGGGGATGACCCGCAGGTATCTGGCCACGATGGGAGGGATGAAACTGTTCATCACTGGATCCCGAAAATTAAAGTTGCCCCGAAACACCTGTGGAAACAGGTAACCTTCTCCTGAAGGTTCTATTCGTCAGATTTTAGATCTTTATCAACCCATTCAGACCTGGTTACAGGATTCTATGTCTTGCATTTTTTTTTTAAGACCCTCTTGATATCAAAGATACAAGGTTCTGCAAAGAAAGGCCAAGTTACCTAACTAAGCTGGTACTGAGAACCTGTTTTCTGGAAGCATGCTGATGAAACAGTTGGAGGCTTGATCTCCTGCTCAATTCTTTCCTCCAAAGTTTCTCTTACCTTTTTTTCATTATTCACAATTCCTTTGTAGGTCCGCCACTTGGAGTTGTTTTTGAAGTTCATCATAAAACTCTTAATATAAAAGTTGAAATTTGGATGTGTGGATTCTGTGGTCCTAATTCCTTGTAAAAAAAATATTATTTATAAATTAGTTTTTAAAATATATTACATACAGCATGTATTTTAACTTCGGGTTTCTTTCCCCCCCCACTCATGTGAAATCTCAAATCATTTCACCGGCCAATGTTTCTTATTTGCATTTAGAAACCTGATCACAGATGAGTGTTTTCATACTGAGATATGCCATAAAAAGTTTCCCCACTGAGGTATCAGCTCTCTGGTCCATACATTCATATTTACAATCCACGTGCAGGTTTTTCCACTGAGACAATGAGGAGATTAAGACGTAGCGGACTTTGAGGCATCTATTTAATCAGAAACATAACTGCAACCCCAAGTCCTTTTGCAGCTGTGAAACTGCACTTGTGTCAGTACCTGTTATTTTCTTCTCCTCTCCCAAATCTATTTCCAGCCATTCTTGTTTGTGGTTCTTGCTGCTGCCCCCCAAAGACCATGATGGGCCTTGGTCCTGACGTCGGGCTTGGCCAGAAGACCAATGAACTTGTTCTCTAAACTCATCGACCCACTGCCAAGAATCTCTGATGTGCCCGTCTGTTTCCAAACTTAAGGATGTGCTGCAACCTAGGAGAAAAGAGCACTGAAATATTTCAGATATACAACCCAGCAATAGTCAGTTGTTTTACTTCCATTGTGATAGCAAATCAATTATTCAATTGCTAGTATTTTAATGACTCAGTTTGCATTTGACTCCCTTGTACTACATATCTTGAAATTGCTGCTGCTTTTGTTTTCAATGGACCTTATTGAAGTCACATTCCCTATAGGTGCCATCTCTTTATCCCTAGTGTAGATTTCCCTTTCTGACCTAAATTCATCCTGATTTTAACAAAGTGCAAGGGGCCTTAAAGGCTTAAAGTACTGAGGTTCTTGTCTATTCCACTCTCTGTACCTTGAAAAGCAGGTACGTCAACTGCTCTGAAGATCAGTAAATTGAACCTGACATCCACCCTTTGGACCTTCGCTATACCATGTCCAAGGCAATGTGGAGGTGTCAAGTAAAGGCTGCACTCCTCTTCCTGGACAAGGAAGACATCATATTGTTCTTCTTAAAATATGCCACTTTATGAGAGGGAGAATATAACACAGACTATCTTACACAATGGAGGGGGACAAAAGCCTTTATTTTATATACTCATGTTCGATAACTTAATTCAAGAAACCTATCAACCAAATTGTACTACTTAAAAGCTTTTCTGGCCCTGGCCGGGTAGCTTAGTTGGTCGGAGTGTCGTCCGATATGTCAAGGTGCAGGTTCAATCCCTGGTCAGGGCGACCAATGAATGCATAAATAAGTGGAACAAAAAATAGACCTCTCTCTCAAATAATAAAAAAAAAAAATTTAAAGCAATTTCTGTTAAAATCGAACATGGAATTTATCCTAAAGTAAATGTCATTTCAAATTTTCATTCTTTTTTGGCAAAAGTTTGAAAGAGCTTAGATTATAAAGAAAAATACTTTCTGCTTAACATTAATATTAATTGTGTGTTATTGTCTTGTGTGTTTTTAAGTCACAGCACACTTGGTGATGTGTGACCTGAGGTGGGGGGGTGCAGGGGGGAAGGGACAAAATCCTTTAAACTGTATCATCTGAGGGATATGGCAGAATAAACTACCATGAGGAACTGAAAATATCAAACTCTTAAGAAAAGCATGATCCTTACCGTTGGAGGCGAACAGAAATCGCTTGTCTGACAGGGAACCACTGAAACAGTAAACACAAACAGAGGGAGTGAGCTGCGTACCTGACTCTTAACGGCTGGCACAGCGCTATAGCACAGGGCTCACAGAGCCTCCCACACCCGTGTGATCAGCATAGCCCCCAGCAAGGCCACTGTTATCAGCCTCATCCCTGGCATTCAGTATCAGCCCCAGCAAAGGTAAGCAACTCTCCTAAATTCATATAGGTGACAAGTGAGCAGGACTCTGAGACACTGCTTATGAATAAAAACCACTGTATTTGAGAAGAAATGCACAGATACAGAGTTTCAGAAACAACCTTAAATCCCAGTCCTATATAATAAAAGCCTAATATGCTAAGTGTCCAATCTTCAACCAGTCACTGACCACCAGGGGGCAGACACTCTGATCGGTAGTTTAGCTTGCTGTTGGGGTCTGCCCTGATCGGGGACTGGGAGAGACAGGCCAGACATGTCCTGAAGCCCTCCCACGGTCCCTCCCTGGCCCCAACTGTGCACCAGTGGGGTTCCTCTGCCTGGCCTGTACCCTCTCACCCTCCAGGATCCCTCAGGGGATGTTGGAGAGCCAGTTTTGGCCCGATCCCCACAGGCCAGGCCAAGGGACCCCACTGGTGCATGAATCCATGCACTGGGCCTCTAGTTAATTAACACATTGTGGACGGATCATGAGAATTCTCGCTTCTTATTACACAGTGTTTTACAAAGTATCATACTTTAAAAAGATATTAGCTTGTAAGAACATGTAATAAATAACTTCAAAATGCAATGGCTACTTAATTTTAAAGTGTGCCGTTAACATTTATGTAAAACGTTTTCTGTAATTGTTTAATAGAAACTTATCTGGGTAAAGCTAGCAATAAAACTACTGGTTAGTATATGATGACAGAGACAGGATCACTGCCCCGAATACTTCCTTTGATTCAGCAGTCACCGTAAATGTCCCGCTCACTGTCAACAATCAAAGACCACAGCGAGAAGTGAAGAAGCCTGGCCACTTTTTGAAGAACAGCATGCCATTTGCTAGCTGCCTTCTCTACAGACTTTTCTACCCCTTTCCTAGGGGTCCTGCCCCAGCATGTTGTTCTGAACGGCCTCAACCCAGTCTCTCTCTCTGATCACACTGTCGTAACCAGCACCAAGCCATGAACCAGCGCCTGCTTTTGGATGACAAGGTACAGCTGTCACGGAGAGAAAATTCAAAGCATTTCACTGACTGGCCTGAACTGGCCCTCAGTGCTCTAAGACAGCCCTCCAGCTCATCGGCATTCACCTCTGGGCCTCCGGAGCCCTGCTGCCTTACAGCCTGTATTAATCTCATGGGAGAACTTATTAAATCAGCCTTGTTCTGTACTTGCCTTCTTCGGAAGAGAAGAGATTTCTAAGACTTCACACCATATTTAACTTTCTAAAAATCCATCACCAACTCAATGGTGTAAAAATACATAGAACCAACAGAAAATCTGGAACTCTCAAGATTAATCTTATGTACATAGTACTTACTATTAGATACTAGACGGAAACACAAAAAGGTCTATGTTGCCAACCCTGCGTGGCTCAGTGGTTGAGCGGCAACCTATGATCCAGAAGGTCATGGTTCCATTCCCAGTCAGGGCATATGCCCGGGTTGCGGGCTCGATCCCCAGTGTGGGGTATGCAGGAGGCAGCCAATCAGTGATTCTCTCTCATCATTGATGTTTCTATTTCTCTCTGCCTTTCCCTTCCTCTCTGATCAATAAAAATATTTTTTTAAAAGGTAGATGTCACTGTGTGTGTGGCATTATTTTACAATCTGAGAATATGAGTTATATTTTAAATGTTTAACTCTGAATTATACATGGCAATCTTGGACAGAGAGTATGGAACTGTGAAATCCACCGAGAACTCCAAAATAGTTAGGCAAGAGCATGAGTACCTTCCCATCAATGTCTTTCTTAGAAGTAACAGGGAGTCAGACTCTCCGGATTAATATTCTCTTTCATATTCTTTGTCCACCCTCAGGCAGAGACTCCACCAACCCCGGTATTCTACATAAGGTTCTATTATAATCCCTCTACTGAATGAAATGCAGGCACCATTCATTTTCCATATGAGAAAACTCAGACCCACGTGGGTCAGGGGACTTGACGAAGTTCACATTTGGTGGCAAAGCTGGGAGGAGGACCCAGCTCTCCTGACTTTTAAAAAAAGATGCACAATGTTGTATTTCATACTTAAATTTCTATTAAGATTTATTTAGAGCCTTTCATTGACTGATTTTCCCATCTTCTCTAATGTTCCCGCACTAAGCATTTCACTTGAAATTTGGCCCAAATAAACCCAAACAATACTGCTGCCAGCCTACACTTGTTCCCGCTGCCGGGAAACATTAAGATTTTGCTGCTGTTGTTGAAAAAAGAGAAGTTACGGTAAGAAGGGTAACTTTGGAGTGACCCCTGGGAAGAAGATGCCAGGGAAGGCTCAGCTTCTAACAGCTCCTTCCTCACTTTCCTCCATTATCCGTGGGAATGGTTTTTCCCATTGCACTCTGTTGAACCAATTGAATATGACCATTTAGAGAATTCCATGGGTAAGTGTCCTCTTTTAAAAAAGAAAATGCCCTCGGGATGTGGGGGTTTGGAGGTTTTCACAGATTAGGGTGAATGTATTCAATCAGATTCCAGGAACGGCCAGCCTTCCCAGCGGGCTACAGAAGCAATCAAGAATAGTCTGATGTAAACAGAAAGACAAGCCTTCCCGGCCTCTGGTTGGAGCCATCCTCCTCTTGTGAAGTCAGCGCCTCTTCCTGATTCCATTCTGGTCTCCCCAGATCCAGGAAATAACCTGACCCCGGATGAACCCCAAAAAAGCCCTGGATATTCACTCTAGGGGCTCTTTCTTCCTCAGCTGCAGTGCTTCCTTCTGTGTTTTTTCCTGAACACCAAACAATCATGTGTGGGAACAGAAGTTCAATGACCGCATGTACACTGGTTCCCCAACAGCATACCAGCACAGATAAAAACAAGTGCTCCCTGAAGATTTGGGAATCTAAATGAATGAAAAAGACTATTGGCCTACAGCTCACTCCTCTCCTAGTGCAAAAAGTCAGTGCAAAATCAGAGCTAGAAGGAAGAAGGGACCTTGATAGAATTCTGGATTTTCTATCTGCTCACATCAGCACAAAAATTGGGTTATCTCTTCAAATAATTATACAGACTGTGAAGCAAAATTTTCCCTAATCCCTTAATGGTTCAGATTTTGGTACTCTTTTTTTGCATTAAAGTTTAATTTCAAATTATAGAAAGCAGCTTCACATGTATTAAGCTCAATTGGTATCGCAGAAGTAATTGAGAACATAATGTTTACTATTATTCAGTGGTTTTAATAATTGTTATTCAAAAGTAAAAGAAAATCTTGTATTTGTACAAAAGAAGCATTCAAATGTATGCAGACACGGGCAAGCAATTCCAAAAAGCAGATTTAAAGCCAAAGGCCAGTTCTTCATTCAAGTTGAAGATGGCAGCACTCAACAAACCTAGGCCACGGCCTGATGCCTTCCTGAGATAGCACTCTAGTATCAATAGAAAAACAACAACAACAAAAAACAGCATAAAAAGACACAGATTCTCAAAAATCAGGGTCAAGCTAACATTTAAAGCTTCCAGGGAACAAGCTATCTCCTTTACTATAAATCAGGATATAATCTTAATGTTCCAAAGAGTTTGAGGCAAATACATTAAGTGAAAGCATATATGTGTATACATGTGTATACATTAATACACATATAAAATTTCATTTGTATATAGTATATATGTATACACACATATACTAGTGTGTATACACACATATACACACTAGTATACACACATATACTAGTATATAAATATAGACTTTATTTATTTGAGTAAAGATTTTAGTTTCTAAAGGCATCTGTAAGCTTTTAGATCTTAACTTAAGCACAAATTTAGAACTAATTTGTCTTTGAATGTTTAGATAATACGAAAAAAATACTGTGGGGCCTCTTGTTGTAAAAAAAAATCCCATCCATAGGGAAAAGCAAATGGGAAGGTCATGGCAGGCAGAGAATGCAAATATAAAGAGGCGAGCCAGCCCATCTGAGCGTGCAGTAAGTGGCCAGGCCTTACTGGCTGACTACCTTTTATAGGTTACACGCAGCATTGCTTTCAATGCCTATGAACGTGTTGGCCTGGAACAACCTCTCCAGTTATCCCCACCTGCACCCCCAAACTCAGAACTGCCAGTGGGATTTCTGCCTCTTCTCAGTCACCCACCAACCAGCCTGCTGGCCGTGAGTTGGATGTGACATGGTGTGCCAACGGCCACCACAACCCCTCTCTGGCATCTCTTCCCTGGTCTTGACTCTACTGCTGTGTCCCCCTAAGCCATGGGCCTGCCTTCCATCAAACCCAAGGCTTGCCTTCTTCATGAAGGTACCTAACAAACTTCTCCCCTCACTTCAGTCACTGCTTGCCCTCCCCTACTGTAACAGAGTGAAACACTGGGTCTCTGACTCCATCTCGTTCAAGCCTGTTGGTCCTGTGGCCTTTAAGCTAACAGCTCCTGCTTTCTCTAGCACACAGATATGCTGATCACTAGAGGAATTCTGCTTGATGCCTGAGTTTTAAAATCACAGCCCTCCTATTTCCCCTCCCCTTGACATCAAAGAAGCCTAAACTCTGTACTTTCTTGAGATGGATTTGAGGATTAGGTCTCCCATCTTCTCGGCTGGAGTCTTTTCAATCAAAAAACCTTTCCTTACTCCAAACTAACATTTTCAGTTTTGGCCTTTTGAAGTGTTGGGCACATGGCCTTTGGACTGTAACTTGGTGAGCTTAGGCCAGCACCCCCAAATCCAGAAATCACTTTTTGTCTCAGAGTGTACTTGTGAGTTCACAAATTGGTTCTTTGAAACATAAAATATTCTTATAAAAACAATATTATCATTTGTGGTCAAGATCCTTATTTGACACACAATATTACTAAGCCATAATACATTCCAATAAAAAGCAGTAGTGCATCGTTGTAATTAGCTAGTTATTAATATCAGAAAAGGAACAAAGGGGAAGGCCAGACATTATAAACACGGCATTGGGCAGCTTCGCTAGGAAGCTGCAACTTTACACACCCCAGGGAACCACCAGTCCATTCCCTGCACATCACTGGGGGAAGGGACTGGACAAAGGGGAAGATGGGTGCATGTGCAGTGAGTGGGGGTGATGTAGGGAAGTTGCCTGTCAGTCAAACCTGGGAGCAGAGGTCACTGGCTGGAGGGGGCAGGGCCACTGCAAGCCCGGGAAAATTTGGGAATACATAGTCCTTCAGACAAAGAAGCTCACTCTCTTGGCTCTCTGGTTCCTTTGGTTTTGCTCCTGCTTCCTAGCATTTGCCCGTGTTCCCTCCAAAGCCATGCGACCTGTGGGCCCCACACACAATGGACTGATGGACTGCACCGGGGACACAAGCTAAGCCAGCCTGATGCCGGATTGGACTATGCCCCAACATGGAACGGAAACTCTTGGCAACGGCTTTACTCCTAGCTCTTTCGAAGCGACAGCTACACTTACTTCTATGGTGGGATGGAGGGAAATGGGACCTTGGAAACTCAGGGGTGTAATTCCACAGAAATAAAGCTTTCTATAATATCTCATCCTTCCATCTGATTTTTAACCAGATAAGATAGTTCACAATCCATTGTGAGAATGGGATAGGAAAACATGATCATGTTCTTTCTGCATGCAAGGGGGGACTAGGGCCGAATGGCAGGGAGAGCTATGCACAAGCTAGCCAGTGGTCGAAGATGTAGGTCCTGACCTACTTTCGGATCCTGAAATGCCTATCACCTCTGTTTTGTGCTATATCCTCAGGACAACGAACATGTGACAACCTGTCAGAAATACCAGAGCCGCAGAAATGGGAAGACATTTCCAGGGGCAGGCAGAGAGTGAGGAAGAGAGATAAACACAGTGGCTTGAAGAGCACTTTTCCCTCACTAGGCATTCATCCAAGGGGAGCCTCCCTCTGGACCATTCCCACTGCCTGTTTACATGTGTGGACATCTGGTCCACAGTTGAGCCTATATTTAGTCCTAATAGCTCTAGTTTTCCATTCCAGAAGCTGAGGAAACCTGAAAGCATTAAAAGCTGAAGCTGAAACATTTAAAGTAATTGACATACATTTTTCTAATGAAGCTACTAAAAAAGCAGAGGATAATACCAAACAGAGAAGTAAACAATGTCAACAAAAGTCATTTTTCTTCACTTCTGAAGTATTATTCATCATTAAAAGATTGTCTCTAGGAGTCTTCTGGGGAGTGCCATAATTCAGAATGGGTTTATTTCAGCTTCCTAGTCTCCCTTCAGTAGCTTCGATAATATTGGAGATTACTAGTAACCAATAAATTCCTGAAACTGAAAAGACTAAAAAGGAATAAGTCTTTGTTCTCTCCAATAAAGTGCCTGAGTAGAAGTACCCCTCTGCCCTGGACTTCATGTGTGTGCCGTTTTAATGTGCTTGTCAGCACAACCAGTGAGCTTTCTTATTACTGCATTTACCTTCCTCACAGGCACCATAAAATGCTACTGTAAAACTCACACATCTTTTCCCCAGTTGACAAACCCTTGTCACATGTCTGCTGTTCTTTCAAAATTGTGAGCTAATTATGCCTTGGGGTTACCTTCCACTCAAAACAAAAGGCAAGGAAAGTACTTACTCCCTTGAGAGTACACCATTGGCCAGGATTCCTTGGTATCGACTTAACCCTTTGTGCTGGAACACGCTGATCTGACCGCCCAGTTCATCTGCAATTATGCCTGCGTGGATGGCCGCCTTGCACAATAAAGAGTTCTGAAACACAGCAACACTGTTACTCATGGCTTACTCAAGAATGCATTTAAAATATACTGGGAGTTTTCCATTTTGCTAGAACTTGTGGTCAGGATCTCTAATTGACCCATGGCATTGCTTAACTATAATTCATTGAAATAAAAAGTAAAAGGGGGAGGGAAAGTGTTAATATATCACTATCTCAATGACATCAGAGTCACCATATGTAAGCTGACTAGGTTGGTAGGTAGGTAATTTACGTAGCAATGGTCCTCCCAATGAGTAACACCTCCTGGTGGCCATGTCCTTGTGTAGTGACCTCCCACACTGACTCCCACCTGGCCATGCAGCTTGTTCTGTGCAGCTGCACATGTCAGTGAGGCCACTTTTGACCCTCTGGCCCCAGATTACCCGCCACATGACTATAGCCATAGGAGTGGTTCTAGGCAAAGGGAGCTAAATAATGGACTCATCGGCAAATCAAAGGGTTGTGATTTTAAGCCAGGCAGTTTGGGGTGGCTAAAGCAGATAGCTGTTCAGCAGAAATAGATAACTGATCAGTTTCTTACATTTGGTTTACCAGATGTACGTACTGAGGATCATTTGAGAAGGTGAACCTTCCCCACCACAGCTTTTACAATTAATCATTAGAATTAATTTTACAATTAATTCTACAATTAATTTAGAGATTTAAGAAGGCATAGAAAACAAAATATAACGCCAGAACATGAAACAGCTGCCCTCTGGTATGATAACCCAAGCAGGAGCACCTGCCTGGATGCGTAGCTGGTGGCCCTGGGATTGAAACTGGCCTGCTGGACAGCGGGGCTGGAGGAAGGACTAGAACTTTTCAGCCAGTTGCCCAGGTCCTAGGATTCCATGAGCACAGTTCTGTGTGGGAGGATGATTAGGTAGATTGTAACCTATCTTGCAGGAGACTTCCTTGTTAGGACACTCTCCCAGGAAGGCCCACATGGCAAGGAGCTGAGGACAACCTCCAGCCAAAACCCGGGAAGAAACTGAGCTCCCCCATCTGGCAACCTGCATACTGCCAACACCATGTGAGCTTAGAAGCAAGTCTTTCCCCAGTCAAGTCTCAGGTGAGACTGCAGGCCTGGCTGACACCTTGGCTGCACCCTTCAGACCTGGAAGCAGAGGACTCAGCTAAGCCATGCCCAAACTCGCACCCCATGGGACACCAGAGATAATACATGTATCGTTTTACGCTTCTAAGTTTGAAGTGATATCGTTTTGTGGCAACAGATACCTAACACACCCATGACATACAAAAAAGGCATAATCAGACTTCTTTGAAGAGGTTAGTTTTCAAAATACAAATTTTCCCTCCAGATAAAATCATCTTAAAAGCAAATGGTGTAAAACCAGTGAGTGAGTCAAATGGGAAAACTCTTTGTAGTACTTGCAAATCTATTGTGCAGGAAACCATTTATTTACTGGTTACATTGAATAGGAAAACTGTCAAGAGGAGGCAAGATAAACCACTAAGTAAGAAAAAATTATGCTTCCTCTCAAATTGTACATAATTCTTAGGTTTCTTGCATGGTAGGTACAGGAAATAATAAAGAAAACTTTTCTATTGCCTAGAGGGAAAACTATACTTTTTATTTCTCTTAGTTAATTTCCTGAAGTAATTTAGAAATAACCTGTGCCAAATATATATTCAAACTGAGGAGGTATAAATCATTTTAAGGTTCAAACAATTTATAGGCCAAATGAATATCCCGTGTCAATCTTGTAAATAAAGACAATACACAAAAAAAGGAAACAAAGACCAAAATAACCAAAACTGCTGCTTCCAGAATCAGGATGTGCTAAAAGCAAAAATTAAAGCCAAGTTTTTTCCCCCTCCTGCTGGAGATGAAGTATCAACCTTCTAGAATATGTATGCTTTCCCCACGCTTGAAGACACATGCCAATAACACTTAGAAATTTCTGATAACTCAAGCAAATTCCTGTAAAACTAGTTAAATAGCAATGTCACATTTTAAAAATCAGGCATCAGATTTCCAGGGTAGAAGTCTGTAAATAATAAGAAATGAAAGATGTGAATCTGGCGACAGGATATATACTTTAGAAAAATGACTTCCTGTGAATTAATTTTTCTCTGAGAAAAATGAACATAACCCAGAAAGTCTCATTGGGCATAGGAAATGGAGGAGCAAGGAGGGAGGGGAATAACATATAAGAACAGGGTAGAGGGCTGCCTGCACTGGTGTCAGACACACATTCACTATTCTGTGATATGAATGTTCATGTCCTTGGTTATTATTACATGAACCAAATGGAGTGTTAAAATAAAGAAATAAAGTATAACAAAAAGATCGCCTCTTATTAAAACCAGATAGAACTACATTCTTAGGTGTTGAAAAGGGTTCTGTTTTACCATTTCAAATGCTTAATGACAGATGCTAAAAATAGTAATGAATAACCTTGGGTTTTGTACTTATTATATTATTTCATTTATTCTAGGGAAAAAGAGAGTCGTATATCTATCTACAGAGTTTTAGATCTTATTTGATTTTACTTTGTAATGAATTTAGGCAGAGCCATAACATTCCCCCCAATCACTTACATCTCTATATCCATCCACCATGTTCCCAAAAATGTCTCCTGCTATGTCTCTACAACCAGCTGGGCAGAATTTGCTACAAAAAAAAAAAAAAAAAAAAAAATTTATATTTTATGAAATTATAGTTAAATGTAAAAGTGTTAAAATTATACTTAAAACAATTTCTCTCCTCCATAGAATACACAGGAGGAGAATACATAGAATACACTTGCTTTAATGACAAGTCAGAAACCTGATTTATGAAAACACAGATTAATCTAAAATGTTACTATGAAAGCAAGTTTTACACAGTAATTGTTTGTTTTATGTACGGATGCATTATATACCCTATTAAAAAATGAGCTTTCCTAATGCATCTTAATGATTCTAAGTCCAAGAAAAAATATTTTTAAAGCAAAATTTCTAAACACTATATATAGCAGAACCTCGTTTTTATAAAAAGATATTTAAAATGTGTAAAAAACATGTTTTTTTATGGATAAAAAGAAGACAAGGAATTAGATCTCTGGATTCTAGTGGGATTTTGAGAAACTTTCACTTTATGTGTTATTTTACTATGCAATATCTTGATTCACGCTACTAGCACTACCCAATAGAAACATAAAGGAAGCCACATATGTAAATCTAAATATTCTAGTAGCCACATTAAAAAAGTAAAAAGTAAGTTTTCTCATCTGCAATTCCTTCAAGAGTCAACATATCAATAGGCTATGAATGACAGCTATACATCTATGGAAAACATGCAAAAAGCAAGTCAAAATATTATAAGAACAATGACAACTTTGAAGATGAAGGCCATATGCCCTTGTTTCTATATATACACTACATTACGATAATGTTTACTTGGTTTGTTTAACAAGAATGTATCAGCCCAAACAGATTCCAAAATAGCAGTCGCTTTGACTTCATTTCCTCCCAGTTTCCTCCCGCTGACTTAGCGAATTAGACGAGTAACAACATCTAGTTATCAAAACTACCCAAATAAATAACTCACAATTCTTTCCCATTGACCTCATGGAGCCCAGCATTGCAGCAATGATCAAGGAATTAAGAAATGAAAATAATGGAGAATCCTACTACAGGGGTACAGTCCCTTATCCTCACCCTTAGAGGCAGATTATTTCAGAATTCAGACTTTTCTGGTTTTTTGGGATTTTAGAAAGTAGGACAATTCCAATGATGTATATTATGTAAGATCTTGTGAGGTCTACACATATTAATAAAAACATTAAAATCTCTGTGTCAAATACACAAATAGTCCTATTAAGTCAAATACAGACTAAGTAGACTCCTTAATTTTAGTCCAATTTTGCTGTCAAATGAATTTAAGGTCACATTAATCAGGTATTGCCATCAAGTGAGTTACAAAAATTTTTGACTTTCAAAGCTTTCTGCATTTCACAGGGATTGTGGACCTTTATTAGTCATTATGCCTCATATTTACCTAAACACTACAAACGCTGGGCTACAACTTGGATCAGTGATTTTCAACATTTGTCAACTCATGGTACAAAAAAATAATTACAAAAATTCTGCAGCACACCTAAAACAAACAAACAAAAAACCCCAAACAAACCATATTTTTTTTACTGATCTGACAAAAAAAAATAGTTATAATTTTGACTCATTCACACTGGACGGCTATTGTTGTATTGGCTATTGTCATTTTTTAAATTTGATAATGTAAGATGAAAGAGGTCAGTGCCCCTGACTAAATAGTCAGGTACTGCATGTTTTAAAAATTCTTGCAGCACACCAGTTGAAGATTGCTGGCTTAGATGATCTGGAACCATTATCTCACTCAGTATATTCCCCTCTTTAGGACAGAAAATGATCATTGATGCCCAGAGGCCCTATCACCGCTGGCGCTGTATAGGATCACTGAAAAGATCCAGGGAATGTTGACGAATATCTACACTGGATGAAAGGCAACTTTACAGGGCAGTATTGAATTATTGGTCACTTTTATTTTTTGTTTTTTCTCTACCAGACTTAGTATTGATTAACACTAGAGTTGATTCTGCATAGAAAATAATCTCATTTACTAGAAGTCTGAGATGATTAGGACCAGGCACTCTTGAGCCTGACTCTGGGTAGACTTAAGTGTGTAATCCTGGGCAAGTTACTGAACTGCTTTGTGCCTCTGTCTTTTGTGTACAACAAAACCTACTTTGTAGTCATGTTGAGACATTCACTTGAGTTACTTTTATGCTAAGTCCAGGCACTAAGTACCTGGCCACTAAGAAAGCACTCTGAGGAGTTATAGCTGTTGTTGGCAATGATCTCTAGACCAGTGATTCTCATCTGGGTGTGAATTTTGCCCGCTGAGAGACATTTGGCAATGTCTACCAGGGACATTACTGGTTATCACACTTGCAGCACACCAGTGGCAGAGGGTAGAGGCCAGGGTTGCTGCTGAACATCCAACAATGCACAGAACTGCTCTTCACAACAAAGAACCATCCGACCCAAGATATCAATGGTGCCAAGGCTGAGATATCCTGCTCTAGGCTCTTTTACTTTATAGATGAGGGAATGTACATCAAAGAGATTAAGCCATTTTTCCATTAAAGCTGGGATAGAATTTTCATCTCCTACTCTCAGTAGGTTACTCTTTTGTGGGAAAGACAAAATAAACCCTCCAAAAGCAAAATAATTAATAAAAAAAGTCACTCCCAAATACAAGCCAGGTAAAAAAATGTTGGCTCACTGGTCCTATAGTAGAACTCAGGGGTCAGCAAACTGTGGCTTAAATCCAGCCTGCTGCTTGTTTTTGTAAATAAAGTTTTATCGGAACACAGCCCTGCTCATTTGTTTATATCTAGTCTATGGCTGCTTTTGCATTCCAATTTCAACATACAGCAACTGTATGACTTCATTCAAAAGAGACTGCATGACCTGCAAAACCTAAAATATTTACCATCTGGCCCTTGGCAAAGAAAGGTTGCTGACCTCTGCTGTATAAGAAACCATTTCAAATATTCCTCATGAGTTACAACATAGATGATTAAAAAGAAATACAAATAATATCTGGTTTAATGTCAAGGTAAATAAAATGTTCAGCAAAAATGCCTGCAGCACAGCCAGCACACCCATCCTTACCTGTACTCTGTCTCCGAATAATGGTTAGCTCGGTCCAAACACGTTATCAAATCTGTCATAAAGATAATTGTAATTAGCAGACTGAATGGAACTTAAGATACCCATGCTTGAAAGCTTTCTTTTAAAATAAAAAAGATAATTTTTAAAAAGCATTTATTCTTTATCTAATTTATCTATATTTTCCTGTTTAAAAATAAGTAAAAACTGAGCACATCTGTTAACAGTCATCAATAAAAAAGTTAAAAAAAATAATCTAAATTGTAATCCCTTCACTTTTTACATAAGGAAAGGTCTATGGTGGGGGAAAAACAAACAAAAACTGAACACAGTGTCCTCAGCACTTAACAGTTCCTTCATTTCTCTCTCCTACCACCAATGATGGTTTTTCAGTGGTTGCCCAGTGAGTGACAACAGAATCTATTCCCAACACTGGTTAGTTACTATCCACTACATGCCTACAAAGATCACGTGTATTGATTCCTCTGGCAGAAGGAAAACAATGTTAAAGCCCAATGTGGTTCATACAGAAGGTTCAGGAACATTGTAATTTAACAATTTAGCTGGAGGCACCTGAGTGGCCCAAGAACCAGGTGTTGAATGAAAACACAAATAGCCTCTCAACTCTGATCAGTCAGGATCAAGGACTCAACAAGAGGGTGCTCTTGGCGTATGGAACCAAACTAATACTCAGCAACAGAGATGCTAAGATACTGTGGATGTTGATGCATTTATGTCAACCTAGAATAGTTTCCAAAACATTCCACACTTGCAATAGTTCTTTCTCTCCTTCATCTTTTCAATAGTTCTCCGGGGGTAACATATGGTGAACACTGGCCATGCTGGGGCCTGCCTGGATTGCTCAGATCTGATGGGCTGGGAGGGAAATGAATGCTGCACCCCCTTTCCAGAGTACTTCTGCCAGAGGGGAATGAAAGCAGAAATTCTGGGCACCTCTGTGCCCTGGGCAGACATGGGGTGGGCTGCACAGTGTTACTCTGGAGTACAAGAGGCCTGGACAGAGCCCATGCTTCCCTTCTCTCCTGCTCGTGTCAGCTGCATGGTTAGGGGATTCGGCGATAGTGACTACATCCTGGTCATACTCACACTCCTCCAGCTGCACTGGTGCACTGGTGCACTGGTGTGTGTATGTAAAGGGGTGTGGGTACTTGATAAAATGCTTGTCCTGAGCTAAGAAACAGGCCGGGGGAGGACTCCAGAGAATAGACAGACCTCAGAAGGGCGACAGTAGCCCCAAAGATGCTCCACCCAAGGCTACTAGGAAAATGAGGTCAACTCTCTATGTCAGCTGATCAATTTAACATGTTCTATAAAAGTGTTCAATTCAGACACAACTACAGACATTGCATTCCTCTCTTGCCTCACATCTTAATTCTGCATCTGAGGTCACAATTCTGTCCAGAGATAGTGATAAGTAGCAAGAGGCATTCTTAGACTGATGAAGGTGTACAGATTTGTGTTGATGATTCCGCTATACCTGGATGGTCGCTGCTGGCATAGGTCAGCAAAAAGCCCCGCCCAGAAGTGTGGGATCCACTTGCAAAGCGAACAGTTATTTCATTTGTGTTCAGCAAGAGTTCTTTGGGAACATTCATACTTCCACAATATGGTCCTAAAAATAAAGCACATTTTTGGCACATTTCAAAATTTGGACCAGCACAAAGGATTGGTATATGGCATTTTTCTCTGTTAGTGGTCAAATTTACCAGACAACACAAATGTAAGATTGTAATAATCACTCAAATGGACTTTTGTTTAATACTGAGACTGATAGTGAACCTGATTATACTGACAAGCCAAGGGGGGAAATGGCTAACTTTGGATAAGTAACAGGCTAGAGCTAGTTAACTGTGAACAACCCAAGAGATAGGTTTTGGTAAAAATAAGACTAACAAATAAAAGTCAAAAAATTTTATCACAAAAGTGATATTCTAGTGATATTCTCCTAAACTTGCTTAAAGAACTATTTAAATGTTTGTGTCCCCTCAAAATCCATATATTGAAATCCTAACACCCCAGTGTGACGGTATTAAGAGGCAGGACTCTTGGAGGTGCTTAGGTCATGAGGGTGAAGCCCCTATGAATGGGATTAGTGCCCTTATAAAGGAGGCCTCAGAGAGCTTGCTTGCCCCTCTACCATGTGAAGACACAGAGAGAAGGCTACAAACCTGGAAGTGGGGCCTTATCAGCCACTATAGTGAATCTGCCTGCACCATGACTCCCAGCCTCCAGACTGTATAAAATAAATGTTTGCTGTTTTTAAGCTATCCAGTCTGAGGTAGCTTGTTAACCAACTAAGACAGGTAGTAAAATAAAAATAAAAAATGTTATCACAAAAATGATATCTAGGGGCCTCTTAAATTTGCTCAAAGAAACTAACAAATTTCCTATTTTAAGGAGATTCCAGAATTAAGAGTCTGTCCAATGTATGGTAAACATCATATTCCCATGCAGTTTTTCCTATACACATTGATCTCTCTCTTACCATAGCTTCTGGTTAACCTGTATAATTTCTTGTGATTTATAAAATAAAGTTCATAAAAAGCAGAATAGTTTCTGAAGCTTTTTGAAATTCCATAATATAAATTATACAATTAAGAGTATTACACATTGTTTCTAGAATAAGTTGCTTGAAAAGCAATAGGAAACTCAATGAACTTTCAAAGGACACAATTAGATTTGGAGCTAAAAAGGAAACAAAATACCTTCCCAAGACTACTCAAGTTAAAGTTTAGTTGTCATCTTAAAAGTCATGTATGCAAGACACAATAATTTCCTTGAAAACAGGAATTAACAAGCAGATCTAAAAATTTTATTTATTAATGAGAAAGAGAGAGAAAGAGGGAGAGGGAGAAGGAGAGAAAGAGAGAGAGGGAAAGAAAGAGAGGGAGAGAGGGAGAGAGTGAGAGGAAGAAAGGGGGAGAGAAAGAGAAACTGATTCTTGTATGTACCCTGACAGGGGCTCAAACATACAACCTTGAGGATGAGTTTTTCTTACAAAAGCCTTTCTATGCCCAAATGATATGGTTACTGTTAGTCTTCTCCATCCTGACTTGTAAAAAGGGTCTACAACTGTATTTAAACAGTCCCAAAGGCAGTACCATTGGAAATTCAAATGTGAGCTTGATAACTCCTATCTTTGACCAGGGTTCTATTCTCCATCCTGGGCTGTGTTCCTGGATTGGTGAACCCGCCTCAGCTCACAGTCTCTTGACTGGGTCCTAAAACCTTTAGCAGACCTAAGCGCAGGACTCCCAGTTCCGCTTCCCATCTGCGGGTGCTGTGTGTTACGTAGACCTGGACTTGCCATCTCACTCTCCTCACCGCTATCCTTGCCTGCAAGGCAGGTTCCATCCGACTTTACAGTCCCAAATTCCCTCACACTGGGGCATCGCAGAAAGGTACTTCATCAAGTAGGCTGAAAAATCAGGAAAAATGAACACTTCTCCCTTTTGTGGAATGTAACTGTAGGCCTGGATTGTGGGAAGAGCTACCGATGATTCAGAATGGAATAGCCCTGTGGCATTTGGCACCTGACATGAGGCCAAGACCTAATAGACAATGGGTTAATCCCTTGGACAAAAGGAATAAAGGGCCCGGAACCACAGGGGCTGACTTCTTTGAGCACAGTAGGCCAGTCCCTCTCAACACATCCCTTGTTTAGGGCCACTGTTCCATGAGCAGCTGAGAGGGGAAACCCTTTATCTTTCCATGTGTGAATAAAAGAAAACTGTCCAACTAGGAAGAATGAACCATCTGCTCACAGCCAAGCCCAGAGCCCTCCATTCTCTGGCAACCGGACAATCCGTGCGACAATTTCTAGTAGTGCTCCATTCTCCAAGGGTCGTCTGCCTAAGTCTCTGGACATTACAAGGCAGTCACAGGTGGGTTAATAACTCTTCCAAGTCACTTCAGGAGGGTCTATGCTTTTGAGCTTGAAACCGATGGAGCTAAATTATTGTTTCATCTGTGAAAGGGACGCATCTGAAAAATGGATGCATACTGTTAAAAAAAGAGACCTCTCCCCCCGCATAACTACTCTCGGTGGTGAAAAACACGGAGACCAAATGAAAACCCAACTCCTGAGAGATCTGTCCTACATCAAACAACAAAAATTCCTCCTGAGAACCTTCAACTTTATAAGCACCTTCTGAAGCACACATTTAATTCCTTATGACAGAAAAGAACATGCCAATGGGCCTAAAGGACATTCTTGGGAGTGCCATGGCAGAGCCAGCCACAGGCACGCTCTCAGCCGCCAGGAAAGTGGCACCCAGCACGGGCCAGATCTGTTCTCAGAGTCAGGCGCGCTGCCGAAACCATCTCCAGAAATGCTGAAGCTGCAAAGGCCACGCCATTGACTCCAGTCCCTTTTCCATTTGTTTTTTTCAGTGCAGTCAAATGGCAAGGTTTGTCCTTGCTGGCTAATTGCAATAGTGTCATTGTACAAAATTACTGAATTTTCAGGGCCATTTTCTTTGAAAAGGAAGGAAATTAACATAAAAAAGGGATATTCCTGGACTGTGCCATTAACACCATGGTCACGTAAGAATGTAAGTGGTGTCCCTGGAGAGCGTTGGTCTCCAGTTCCCAGACAAAAATCAGTGACAGATGATAAATGAACCAGGCGGATTCCTAGACAACGGTGTGGTTTTCCTTGGGGCCAAGGCATGTCAAGAAGTGCCCTAACACTGGAGCTCACAACCCACCTAGGCCATTACTTCTCTCCCAACAAAAGAGGGTAATTACTGAAACTAAATCACAGTTCGGTCTCCAGGGAAGTATTTGGGGAAAAGGAGGAGGAGGAGGTCCAAGCCTTTTCTCCTTGAGGCTTATGATTATGTTAATAAGATGTCTAGTGTGGAACATTCTGGCTGATACAAAGTTTTCTATAAGTTTAAAATTCTTCTGAATTCTATCTTGGCACAAAAGGCAAAACCAAATCAAACAAACAAAACAGTCCTTCTCAAGAATATCCACCAAAGTAGCCCCAATCCTAGAGGGGAATGCAATTCTAGGGTGTTTGAGACTCAAAACAACTTTCCATACAAGCTGGAAATTTCTTCAAAGGCTTTTGTTGTTTCTTTAAAAGTCGTAAGAATTTTCTGTTCTCTATGATATGACTGGTAGAGACAAAACCCATTTGTAAAATAGAAGCTGCCAATCTTGTGTTTTTCTTTATTTGGAATTTTCAAAAAAATCAACAGACAACACATAATGTTTGGATCTTATTATGGTATGCCAGCTATGTATTATTCTAAAATATTATCACAGAAATCTTGTTGCAATTGTGAGGCAAAACACTAAGTATTATTTCCTACTTTCCCATTTCTCTTGTTCCTAGTGTAATACGAATATTAACAGTTGACTTCACATGGTTTTACTTTTTGAGTCTATGACAATGGTTAAAAGAATATTGGGGGTGGAGGTGGAAGTACAGGAAATGTAAAAGAACAATTCTGGAATTTCCTGGTTTTCCTATAGCGCAAGTCATTTATCAGAACACAACTAATTTGACTGGCTATAATTAGGTTCACTGGCCATGCTGCCGCCTTAAGCATTCTAACTAAGTATTTTTAAACCGTAAATTTATATTGATACTCTGTATGGGAGTGATTTTTCAGAAAGCCATTTTACTTCCAGTATATCCCCATGGGGAAGGCCCTCCGAAGTTTCTACTTCTTCCAGCAAATGATAACCAAGGACTACAGCTCAGATCTTATGCACAAGCCCCTGATCAGATTGATGGTTATTGCCACACCAAACCGGGAAGGTTTAAGAGAAGGGTCTCTGAAGTCAGATGCCCAAACTTGAATCCTAGCTCTAGTTAAGAGATCATAAGCATGTCACTTGACCTCTTGAAGCTGCAGTTTCCTTATGTGTGGATGTTACAAACAGGTCCCCTCAGGGCTATCATGAAGGTTAAATTAGTAACTCTAGGGACTAAACCCAGCATATAGTTGAATGCTTAGTCGCAGACACCTTCTACATTATTTGTAGTCTTTTCTCTATTATAGAGTCCTAAAATTTCATGTAAGTCAAGTCCTTCTTTCAATGCAGTCAGGATGTTTATAGATAGAGGAATCTTACTGTGAATCTTCTTGTAGTGTGAACAAATCCACATTTTTAAATATGTCTGCCAAAACTGAGCTACATGCAATGTGATTTATTAAAAGTGGACTGAGCATTTTTAATTACAAGACTACGCTATACAATAAGGGATACTACAAAGATAAATAAAATGCAATTCCTTGCTCAAGGAACCCCTTATCTGGTAGAGAATCTAAAATAATGATCAAATCTGAGATTGGTGCTCTACTGAAGGCTTAGAAAAACAACACGAGCCCTAGCTGGTTTGGCTCAGTGGATAGAAGGGTATGCGGACTGTAGGGTATGGGTTTGATTCCGGTCAAGGGCAGGTTCCTTTGTTGCAGGCTCCTCCCCGGCCTGGGTCCTGTTTGGAACTCGTGCACAAGAGACTAAGAAAGACTAAGGAACTGTCCATGATTAAAGGAGTCGGAGGAGACCTGATCACAAAGTAAACGCTTTGTGATCTGAACTGGATCCCACATAAGAAAAGCAACAGTAGTCTTCTTTTGAAGGGAGTCTCAGTTACTGCAATTACTTTAGTCTCAAACGAAACCCCAGAAATCCCTTAGTTATAGTGAAAACAATCTCTACTAAGCAAAGTATGACGACACTTAATAATTTTTTTGGCCAGAATATTAGCACACATGATCTTGAAAGACAGTGTATGTTTTATATCCAATTTTTGTATAGGTTTACAAGTAAATTTTGTTTTAAAAAAAATCTTTAAAAACATATTTTGTTATTAAAAGACATTTTTCTAGTGAAGGTTGATACACTTTATCAACTTTGCTGTTTCAATGGTGTTTGAAAGGGAGAGTCAGTGTCTTAACTCGGCTGTAGATAGATAAGTACATTCTTCTAATTGATGCTCGAATTGAAATATCAGCCATAATGATAATACATGACAATACCAGAATAATAATAACCCCTTTCTGCATGTGTCAGGCCTTTTCACATCAGTGAGATCAAGTGTATCCTTTGCTTGATCACTGTCAAAGCTGGTGTGGGCACACTGCTTACAGTGCATTTTGTTACCACAGGAGCGTGGATGATAAAAAGCACATGAGGTATATAAACCAAACACTTCAAACAATTGGCCTGGGGGTGAGCCATTAAAAAAGAGCTGCATAATGATTACAACTGCAAAACTTCAGCCTATTCACAATGATTAACGCAATCACATTCCAAGTAGGTCCATTCTTGGCAGAGCTTACAGACACGAATGCCAGAAAACATTACTCCTTTTCAAAACATTATCTGCATATTCAAAGGTTGGAGAGTGTTGAATCTTAAAATCTCTTGGCCCTGAGTTTTAGTAATAAATTAGTTAGTGAAAAAAACTGAGCGGGATAAACTCAAATTATTCAGCTGTTTTAGCCACACATGTAATCACGAGAGCCGCCACATTCCAGAATTTCAGGAGGCGTTCAGAACATAAGGTCCCCCCTGCAGCACCTCAGCGGGCACCCCCTCTACCAGACCCAGGAAATAGTACTGTGGGTCCCTGGGACACTGAGATGACACTAGGGACCTCCCTCTGAAGTCATGCCAGGGCCTGTGGCCACGATAGCTGCAGAGGGGCCTCCCTCCCCCCCCCCCCCCCCCCCCCCGCCCATAGAGCTGGGCAACAGCCCCAGGAATGCCCACTCCCTGAGCTCGGATGCAGGACCACAAAGCACTTATGCCTCCTCCTCCTCCTCCTCCTCCTCCTCCTCCTCCTCCTCCTCCTCCTCCTCCTCTTCCTCCTCCTTCATTGTGGATGCCTGCACTCCTCAGGAAAGTTCAAACTGACCAGGGAACTATTATTTTTAATGGATTTGCATTGATTTTTTAGAGAGAGAGGAAGGGAGAGAAACATTGATGAGAGAGAAACATCAATCAGCTGCCTCCTGCACGCCCCCTATTAGGGATCAAGCTCACAACTCAGGCATGTGCTCTGACCCGGAAGCAAACCGGCGACCTCTTGGTGCATGGGTCAACATTCAACTACTGAGCCACACCAGGGCATGACCAGGAACTATTTTTTAAAAATATATTTTATTGATGTTTTTACAGAGAGGGAGAGGGATAGAGAGTTAGAAACATCAATCCGCTGCCTCCTGCACACTCCCCACTGGGGATGTGCCCGCAATCAAGGTCCATGCCCCTGACCAGAATCAAACCTGGGACCCTTGAGTCCGCAGGCTGACGCTCTATCCACTGAGCCAAACCGGTTAGGGTGACCACAAACTATTTTAACTCTTCAAATTTATGTCTAGTTAATGGTTTTGGTCCAAAGAAATCTATTTGTTGTTTATTAAGAAACATGTTTATTAAAGAAAGAACTGAAAATAAAGAGAGGACATAAGACCCATAGTCAAACCTTCTAAAGTCCTTGTATTTTGCTATAGTTGTGTTCTGACTTATTTTACTCAAAGGGTTTTTTTATCATCATAACATTATTGTATATTCATATTTTATCTAACACTATGTACTAGTATATCATAAGCAACTTTCTAGATTAACAGTCTTTTAAACAAATAGCTGTTTAATATTCCAAGTAACTGGAACTTGTTTTACTTAACTGGTTCCTTGTCATTGAACTTTATTAATTTACTTTTAAAATCATTTATTCTCTGAGTATCTACTACATTCAAGTCACTGGATTAAATATTATAAATACTACACATACATAAAAAAACAACTCTTCCCAGAATGCTCTTCAAAACTATAAAAGATTCAAACATATGCATGCAACATATGTGATATATGCATGTATATACTTGCTGCATGTCCTTAAACCACTTAATTATTTTAAAATATATTTATATAATTGAAAAATTCTAATTTCCTGTTCATGTATTCCCCTTATTGCTAATTTCTGCTCTCCTTGTCTGCTGGATTTGCCCTAGCATGACTAATCAGAAAATCTTTAAAGTACCCACAAAAGAAATTCTCAGCATCATTAAATACTTTATCTTAAAGACATGTTCTAAGTATTAACTATACCTGTGCTTGAAACAAAATTGCTATATATGTAATATTGGGCTGGTCACCTGAAAAGGGTAATAATTTGTTGGGTTCTTTTTAAGGTGGTGGAACCAAGAGAAAGGAGGGGACATCTGGAGCCACAGGGACAGATATAAACCTTTCTTTCTGCCCTATCTAGCTGTGCGATCCTTGGCGTTTTCCTTAAAAGTCACTGTGATGCAGTTTTGTACAAAGGAGTTAATATTTACCTTGCAGGGTGGATGTAAGGGTGCAGGAAAAATCTATGTAAGGGCCAAGCATGTACCTGGATACAAAAGACGCTGACTATTTTATGTCTACAATGAGCATATCTTTTGCCTTTATGGGACAAACAGAAGTGGATACAGAAACATTTTCAAGAGAAAAATTCAGTTATTTGGCTTTACTGCTACAAGTGAATTTTAATTTATTACTCATTTCCTAGTGCCAGGTCAAAGTCTCCAAAAGTTAAGAACCTAGAAATGTGGAGAACAGTACCCTGAGGCCGACCATGACCGCCTTAGAACCTAGCCTAGCTCCTAATGTGGCGTTAATCCCATGCTTTTCCCCCTTTCTGTATATTTGTGAGCTTCTACCAAAGGTGATGGGATGAATTCCCAGTGCGGGGAAAGTCACATCCATTCTGCAATCCTGCTTTGGGAAGATTTGCTCCCCTTTCTAATTCTTCTCCCCTGGGCCTCTGATTTGAAAGGTGAGCAAATGAGTCCTCTGCTGCTCTGCCAGGAGGTGGAATTAACTGCTTGTTTTCCGGAAAAGGAGACGTTCCCCCAGACACACCAGTGTGGGAGGGCAGCTTCAGGCCCGGGAGCACTTTGCCTCGAATTTTACCCGGGAGGTCTGACACACAGTCTTCTCTGAATCCGTATGAAATCCCTGGCTAGTGAGATTCCCTGACAATGGCCTCTATAAGTTAATTCAGATTCGATCACCCAAGGTAACGGAACAGTAAGCTTCCCAGGGACCTTTTGCGTTCCTGGAATTGCCATTTTCCCGTGTGAGTCAGACTGGAGTTTAAAAAGTGCAAATAATTATATGAAGTCGACCATCTTTGTTTTGTCAAAGTGATTTAACCATCATTAAAACAGACATAATATTGTCAGGGCTAAAAAATCTTAGCTGTTTTTCTCCTGATGGGGCCTGGGTAAGTTTAGACCTCTGAGTAGACTCAGGCATGGTCCGTACCTCCACCTGGGCCCAGGCACCCACGGTGAGAAAACAAGTCTAGACTAAATGTAACCACAGCCTGGAAGGCTACGTGTTTGAGAAACTGCCTATGGAACGAGCAGGCGGACAAGACTTTACCTAAAACCTATATCATTTGTGGAGTTGTGTGCACAGAGAATTTCAGAAAATCTCCAATCTCAAAATAACCCGTGGACAAGATTTTGTCTAAACTCAAGCTGTTTCCTTGGCTTTGGGACTGTAAGGTCGCTGTTATGGTGATTTCAGAGGCCACTGTGCTAACAGCACACCCAGGGCACAGGAAGCTTAATTTCCAAAGGTTATTTGGGAAACTGTCCTTTGCACTTGCTGTTCCCGTACCCAGAAACTCTGACCTCAGATATACGTGCCCAATGCATTCCCTTCTTCATCGGGGTCTCTGCTCAGATGTCCCGTAGTGGGGAAGCCTTCTGACCACCCCATTTGAAGTAGCACAAACAACTCAAAAACAGGCTCCATCTTACCTTAGGATTTACAGCGGTGCTCAACCTGTGGGTCGCGACCCCTTTGGCAGTCGAACAACCCTTTCACAGGGGTCGCCTAAGACCATCCTGCATATCAGATATTTACATTATGATTCATAACAGTAGCAACATCACAGTTATGAAGTGGCAACGAAAATAATTTTATGGTTGGGGGTCACCACAACATGAAGAACTGTATTTAAAGGGCCAGAAGGTTGAGAACCACTGCCTCAGAAGGTCTTCTTCTTGTTCTCATGTTTCTTTCTCACAATCACTCACATGATAGATGCATTAGTTTTCCTTCCCCCTCCCCTCCCCACCAAGGCAAGCTCCATGAAGGAGGAACTCTGTTTTTTTCACTGTTATATCCCAACCAGTTTCTCACAGAGTTCCTGAACCCAGGATCACTATTCAATAAATATTTGTCACAGGAATGAATGAACCGTAGACGTTTTAGCCAAGAGCCATACATCTCCCATTCTCTTCCCAGCAAGATACAAACTCAAACAAAGCTCCCGAGACACGCACACCAGGCTAACAGTGACATCTCCTTAGATGTCTTTGTTGCAGCTTATGAAGCAAATGTACCATGTGAGCTACCCCAAGAGTTTACAAAACTCAAGTTTCTCTTCTAAGGTTCCCAGGCTATTTTGCTAAGAAACAGACAGCCCCCTTCCCCCAGATTGCAAATGTTTTCATGCACACAGACACCCCGGTCTCTTTCCTTACCGTACTGATTGGAATTGCTGGTGAAGAGCAGGTAGTCAGAAGCACAGGTCTGGGACTCAATATCCAAATCTCCTAACCTCAGAACCAACCTCTTCCCCTTCGGTACTGTGATTGTCCTCTCACACGTCGTGTGATTGGGGTACGTCCGTGGATAGTTCTTGGATGCCATGGTGCCACTGTCCTTATAGGACACTATGTGCCCACAGCCATCGCCTGTTAGAGAAAAAGGATTTAAGAAGTAAAATTAATTGTTCCAGAGAACTGAGAATCCAGTACAATTCCCCCGTCATGTATTTTCTTCCTTCTTTGAAAAAAAATAATTGAAAATAAGATTAAATTATTACGCAGTATGTATTGTTTCACATTAGTTCATCTCTTGTTTCCCAGTTTAATCTTTTGAACAGTTAATCAAAATGTTTCATATTAGAATAGAAAGCCATCATCAGCAAACACATCATTTTATCATATTACTTTTTCTAATCATCTATCTATCTATCTATCTATCTGACCTTGTACAGTGGGCCCTTGGAATTCACAGATTTGCTGTTTGTGGGTTTGTCTATTAGCAAGCCGATGTCATGTAAAAATCTGCGAAGGAGAAAATACTATCACTTACCTCAGAGAGTTACCGTGAGGATTAAGTGAGATAACGAATGTAAAACCTGTCACTGACAGAATCTGAGACTTAGGCTGAGAGGACTTTAACAGCCTGTCATTTAGCTGGGAACCAGCAATCATTCACCATCCATATCTCACTAATGACAGTCATGGATTGATGGTTCCTGATAGAGAAATTCAAGCATCTCCTGCATTGAGTGCTTGCCACACACCAGACCTGGAGCTGTGGGAGACACACAAAGCAGCAGTGGCTGCTTCGTGGACCTGAGAGTAAAATGGGAGACAGTCACATGTCCAAATAACTGTAACACTAGATGCTTTGTGCCATATCCGGGGCTTAAACAAAGGGCTGAGGCAGACGAGAAAGAATCTCTTTTAGTGAAATATCACTAGTTCATTAAAATAACAAATTTTCTTAAGACTTCTCTGAACAAGAAAGGTCATCAATTGACCAACAAGTTGCCTTAGTAGATTAAAGTGACCAAGTTAATCATTCCAATATCTAATGGTGTGCACAAGTGGGTGTGGCAAGGCAAATGAGCATGTACTGCATGCAAACTGCAAAATGCCTGTGGTTAGTACAGCTTCACATAAAAAAACAACAACAAGAATTCCTACCCTTAGGGAGGGAGAGGAAGCAGAAATCATTTGGAGAAGGAACTCGGTTAGGCAGGAAAACAAGGGCTCTCCATAGAAGCCCCAACTAGGGCACAATGGGAGCTAAAGACCAAGCAGCCTTCTCCCTTCTGCCACCTCTTCCCTAAACTAGATGAGGATTCACCTGTGGGCATCCTTTATTCCACTTCCTTCTTGCAGCTCAAATAATAATGGAGGCCCAGACCAAAAGAAATATCTGGGGGTAGGGCAGGGAACCCCAGCATCTACCCCACTCCAGCAGACCAGGTGTAGGGAAAGGATCCACCCATTCTCCAGAAATTCCCACAAGGTTCTGAACAGTCCTGGCCAGGAGGTTGGGTGGAGGGAGAGTTGACCTTAAGAAGATGGGGTAGAGAATACCAGGGAAATGTGGATGGGTAACTACAATGAAACTACTCTGCAACCTGGAGATCTAGGCAAAAGTTGTGGGATTTTTACTGTAGGCAACAGGGATCCAAAAAATGTTTAGAGAAGAGACTTAATGAAGTATTTGAAAGAGGTATTTGAGAAAGTGGGTCAACCTGGTTGGGTAATGACAGGAACTAGAACACAGGGAGAATCTGGGTCAGAGGAGCAGTGGTAGGGCTAGAAACGAGCTGGCTAAAGGGGAAGGAAGAGAAAGGAAACCCGGAGAATTCATCACAAAAAACTATGAACAGACTGTAGTTTGTGGTGGAAAAGACAAGAGGAGAAATAATCACTAAAATTTTGAGTTCAGAAATGATTGGAACACTGAGGTCAATACAGACAGAAAGGGAAGCCTGGAGAGCAAACAGGTTTGGGGCAAAGGTAAATGTGTTTGTTGAACTGGAGGTGATAGCTATATTTCTTGGGCTTTCTGGCAGTAAGTACATTCCTCTCAGGTCCATGCTGATAATTACATGAAAATTATAATAGAGTGAAGCATATGGTGGGGAAGCACATAATGCACAGGGTTTTCACTTAAAAAGTGAATTATTTCCTGTTTTTAAAGGCTTTTAATTTAAAAAAAAAATCCAATTTACAGTTTCTTTTGAAAACTGGAAGACATGGTAACCAAACCAGCAGGCATTCTCAAAGAGCCAGTGATGTGGTGACTGCCCCTTTAAAAGAGACAAACACCCAGCCTTGGGGAGTGTGGCTTAATTGGTTGGGCATCATCCTGGTTCAGTTTTGGGAGGCAGCCAATTGATGTTGTGCTCTAGCACTGATGTTTCTCTTTCTCTCTCCCTCTCCCTTCCTCTCCCTTCCTCTCTCTCTCTCTCAATAAATAAAATAAAATAAAATAAAATAAAATAAAATAAAATAAAATATAAAATAAAATAAAATAAAATAAAATAAAATAAAATAAAATAAAATAAAATAAAATAAAATAAAGAGACAAATACCCTTGTCTCCCCACCAGGTCCTGGCCACTCGTTTTTGACTTGTCCCATCACTGGAGGCATTAATTTTGAGCACTCGAATAGAGCAGCACTAGGGTAACTAGAATACAAACAAATGATTGTGCATATAAATATGCATTAACCCTTTCTAAGCCACCAAGATACCGGCTGGTAAACATTAAATGCCTCTTTTCTTAGTACAATGAAATTCTGCTTTAGTAAGAGAAGAGCAAGTGTAGTATTTTCTAGATAACAGAGCGAAATTATATGGAATCAACCTACACATGATTACTGCATTCTAAATCTTAAGTGACATGTTATGACAAAGAAAAATCCCACGGTGTCACTTTTATTCATTTTATTCGGTGCAATAATGGTATCAAAGTTAACTAAGAAACTGGTGTGTTTAGGGATGCCCACTGAGATATGTAGGGCTGAAATGACACAATGACATAGGTCTGTCAGGGTTTGTCTTCCAAAATGTACTTCAGCGAAATCGGGAGGGAAGGATGGGGAAATGCTGCTGGTTGCTGTAGCTGGATGATGAAGGTTCAGGAGCTTTGTTCTGTTTTTAATTAAAATGAAAACAAATACAGGTCAATCTTTAAGGGAAGAAATACAATCTTGCTTTTATGATTCAACTCCACCTGGTGTGGGAGGGCTGGCGGGCAGTGAGCCACAGCGATGAGGTGCTGGAGGTGACAGCGACAGCACAGCACCCCCACCCAACATCAAAGCGGGGAAGTGGAAGCGGGGAGGGAAGAAGCCTCCCCACAGGGAATCTGTCTGCTCTTCAAAAGTGGCTGCCACACAATGTTTACCTTTTTCTTCCCTGTAATTTAATTGCCAAAACATAGGATGACTAACCCATGTGTCATTTCCTCCTCGCCTTAGACTGAAAGCTCCCCACTGGGGAGGATTTGAAGAGTCATCCCTCCAATGGTGGGCTTCAGGCCTGGGGTTTGCTCAGAGCCAGAGCTGGTTTGTGAGACTGACCAACCACCTCCTCCAAACAACTTACAAATATAAAACTGCATGGGTGACGTTGAGATTTTAGGGGGGGGAGGGGGACCACAGCAAGTACTTACTCATATAACTCCCCAAGTGATCTCTGTAAAAAATTTAAGTATTTTAATTCTAAACATTTGGAAACAACCTAAATTAGAAAAGAATAGTCAAACTATGATATCTCCAAGCAATGTCATGTTAAGGTAAAGTTAGGCTTATGTTTTAGAAGATGATTTAATTTATTTTTGGAAGTCAGACCTATTATTACATGTCACGCTCAAAGAAGTGAAATGACTTAAAGCCACAGAGTTAGTAGGAGGTGCAAACGGGTATGAACTCACGCTCCAGAGTCCACATGATTAGCCAGACTAGAAAGGCACGGTGAGCCAAGTAACAAATTTAAACTTCGGGTGAGAAGTGGGGCCTCTCTGTCCCTTGGTCAGAATCTGGGCAACCTCAGGGCTGAAGTGTCTATGCCACATGGCTTTCTGGATGAGGCCCTGGCAGGCAGCAGAGGAGGGGGTAATCTGGGAATACAGCTTTTGTAGAAGACTATTTTTAAAACAGAATATAGAGTACACACATAGATATGAAGGAAAAAATGTTTACTTCTATGGCCTGGGATCACAAGTAATTTTTATTTTGTTTGTACATTTATTTTCTATATTTCCTACAATATGAAACATCATCCTATCTAATAAAAGAGAAACATGCAAATTGATCATAACCCCGGCACCCTTCCCATGGGCTAATCAGCAGGATATGCAAATTAACTGCCAACCAAGATGGCGTCCGGCAGCCATGCAGCTGAAGCGAACAGGAGGCTTGCTTGCTCCAGTGACGGAGGAAGCCAAGGTTCCCCACCTGCCGCAGCCCAACTCTGAGCTGCACTCTAAGCAACTATGTTGCAATTATAGAAGCTAAACAAGCTCCAGAGACCTGTTTTCAGCCAGCTTCGGCCTCAGAGCTTAGAGCTTCAGTGATGGCAACAGAGTTTCAATTATAGAAGCCAAACAAACCTAGATACCTGCTTTTAGCCAGCTTCGGCCTCAGAGCTTAGAGCTGCTGTGATGGCAACAGAGTTTCAATTACAGAAGCCAAACAGACCCAGAAACCTGCTTACAGCCCTCAGAGGTGGAGCCGGCTCTCAGCTCCAGTGACAGCTATAGAAGGTAAATAAATCCCAGAATAAAAAAAAAAAAGAAAAAAAGGAGAGGCTGGGAGCTTAAGTTGCCCTCCAGCTTGAAAACGGCTCTCAGGCTCTCAGTCTCCCCAAACTGGCCAGACACCCCAGTGGGGACCCCCACCCTGAAGGGGCTGTGACCAGCTGCAAACAGCCTTCAGCCCGTCATCCACGCTGGCCAGGCACCCAAGTGGGACCCCCACCCTGATCTGGGACACTTTCAGGGCAAACCAGCTGGCCCCCACCCGTGCACCAGGCCTCTATCCTATACTACAGGCAGGGCGGGACAGCGCGAGCTGCCACCCAGGCCCCATGTGCAGCCCTGGGCAGTGAGGCATAAGCCCTGCCCCCATCCAGGACCCCTGTGTGCCACCCGAGCCCCT